AGGGCTGGAATCCCACAGCAGGAGAGCTGCTAAGACTACTGCCGAGACTACTGCCGAGACTGCCGAGACTGCCGAGGATACTGCCGAGACTACCGAGACTACTGCCGAGACTGCTGAGACTACTGCCGAGACTGCTGAGACTACTGCCGAGACTGCTGAGACTACTGCCGAGACTGCCGAGACTACTGCCGAGACTGCTGAGACTACTGCCGAGACTGCTGAGACTACTGCCGAGACTGCTGCCGAGACTGCCGGCCAGACCATAGAAGTTATAGAACGGGCTTCTGCGCCGTTTCTACAGACCCTCTTCAACGCCGCTAAGCATGCCCATATCTATACCGAAATTAGCCTCTGTATGACTATGCTACAGTCTCAACGACAACAACAGCAACTGCTTTTCCTACCAGACCCAGGGAGAAGATTCGCAGCCATAACGAACATTCAGCAACGATACGGAGTATTCTGGCCCGACGCCGACAGCAAGTACGGCAGGGAGCCTATATTCTATGACCAACAGACACTATGCTACCGAGACGTAGATCTATGGCTCTTAGCAATTGGAAGGAAAATCGTTAATCCATACGCTCGAGACGAAGTCCTCCGAGAATGGCAGAGCCTACTCAGAGGTAAAGCACTCAGCTGGTGGGAATATCACCTTAGGCCCGTGGAAAGGAACCGGTATAGGGCCCTAGGATGGTACGGCCTACAGAAGGGACTAAGTGCCCGCTTTGGGCCAACCCAGCTAGTTAATTACAGCCAGCCAGCCAGCCAGCCAGACAGTTACGCCCAGCCAGTTAATTACAGCCAGCCAGCCAGCCAGCCAGACAGTTACGCCCAGCCAGACAGTTACGCCCAGCTAGTTAATTACAGCCAGCCAGCCAGCCAGCCAGACAGTTACGCCCAGCCAGACAGTTACGCCCAGCCAGTTAATTACAGCCAGCCAGCCAGCCAGCCAGACAGTTACGCCCAGCCAGACAGTTACGCCCAGCCAGTTAATTACAGCCAGCCTTAGGCATACCCCCCTATTACGCCTCGCACTAATAGAGGCCTAAGGAAGTCATGTTATTAAGCCGTTTAAAGTCATGTTTAGGCAGCCGAAACGATCGGGACGATCGTCTTTTTCGGGACGGGCACCTGTCACAGTTCTATTAGACACAACAGTAGGGATGCCACAGTTATGGGGCTGCCAGTGTGGCTGCCAGTGGGGCTGCCACACGTGGGGCGATACTGTCGCCCTAGACCGCCCTATAGGTATATTAGACCACCTGTTCGCTAGACCTAGGATAGACCTAACCTAATAGACAACAATGACTAGAACGACTTATTAACTGTGACACTATATAAGTTTCTTACTTAAGACTTATAAGAAGAGGAATCTTATAAGCCTCGAGCTATAGAACGAAGTTTCTCCCGATTTCGCCGACTAGTTAGAAGAAGACTTTTAGAACGTACTTCCCTTAATCCTACGATTCTTTAAAGACTATTTAATCGGTAATAGCGTCTACGTCGAAATAGATAGTAAGAAAATCTTAAAAAATATAGTATTAGCTTTTAAAAAGGAAGAATTCTACTACTAGTTACCTTAAGAACTTAAACAAGGCGTTAAGAGATATCGCAACCTGAAGGCTTTGATAAAAGACCCCGAATTCTACGAAGAGATCACGAGACCGGCAATAGTAGCTAATAGTATAGAGGAAGAGTCGAACTAACCTTATAGCTACCTCCTCTATAAGAATAATAATAGTAGTAACTACCGTACCGACCGCTATATCCTACGGTCTCTCCGTTAATAGACTTCTAACTATACGAGTTAATAGACCGTATCGGAAAGTAATTAATAGAATTCGCGAAACTATACCCCGACGATATAAAATATAGCGGCGATATATACGATATACTTGAAAAGAAGATGCTAGTATTCGTAGATTATTATAGAATGCTAGGAATTTATACCTCCTAATATAACAAGGTACTTCCCTTAATACTAAAAGGAATAGCTAAAACCTACTTCTACGCCTTGATTAAAGTAATTAACCTATAGCCTAACTTCGAGACTATAATTAACTAATTAAAATCATACTTCGAGACTAGGGAAAGGCAATAAGCGTACGTTACGTAGTAGAATATAACTACTCTTCCCTAAATCATTCGCGATAACCTTAGAAAGACTAAATCGGAGTATTTTAATATACTATATAATAAATTAAGCAAGATTTAGCCTAGTTTGCTATAATAAGATTATAACGACCGATCCCTCTATACCTAACTTCTATATGCTTATAGAGATATTCTAGAGTATGTAATAGCGTTATTTATACCGGCTAAGACGTACGAGGGACTTTATAGCTAATTAATCTCGTCGATCGAGATAGCTACCCGTCTTAACTAATAATAATTTAATATAGTAGCTAACCTACTAAAGCAGTACTAAACCGATAGAACTTTTAACGGTCGAGGGCGTTATTTACGATATAGTCGTTTATTACGAAGTCGATTATTACGAGGAAGAAGCCGTAACAGACCCTTATTACTACTAACGCTTAAGAAGTGCTACGTATATAGAAAACCTAACTGCTAGTTAACTAAACATACTATAGAAGAAAGACGAAAAGCGTACGAGAAGTTTAAAACTACCTAATATGCCTAGGATATATTACTTCTAGCATATAGCTAATTTCTCGTCTAATACAAGGGTTTCGACGGGTTAGACTTATAACCTACCGCCGAAGACCCCTAGCAATACTACTATATAACCGAACAAACTAGTAAAGGTAACGAAGAGGAAGAGACTAGTAGCGATAGTTAATTCTAGGTTACCGCCTATTTTACTATAATAGCAATTAACGGCAATAGGATCGCTACGATCCTAGCAGACTAGTTAACCTGCTATGCTATTACGAAAGAAGACCTTTTCCGTAACTAACTAGAACCGAAAGAGCTACCTTCGTAATTTATACTCGAGGGATGCTACTCTGCCTAGAACTTCTAAGGGATTATGCCTGACTCGGGCGTAGTAGGATTCTTAACCGCTAGCTACTTATAATTCATAGCTTTATAATAAATTTATAAAGGAATTACGTTAAATACTAAGGCGGCTAGCGGCATTATAGTAAAATTCGGCGATAGGATACTACTAGAGTCTATAGGGACTACTAAAGTACTAACGCCGTTTAGAAGCGTTAAATTTTACGTTATTAAGACTAATACTCCCTTCCTTATATGCCTAGGAGATATAGACCGATTAAAGGTCTACTTTAACAACGTTACGAATACCTTTATCTAAGGAAACAAGGTCGTACCTATTATTCGCAAATAAGGCTACCTATAGTTATTACTTAATAAGGAGAAACTACTTACTTAGAACTACCTTATAGACGCTAAATTACGACGGGTTTACTATCGCTTCGGATACCTATCTATTTAACGATTATATAAGGTGCTTTAGAAGGCTAGCTACCTAGTTAAAATTACGGTAATTAAGTAACTATCGAAAGTCTGCTATCGATACTAAATATATATACTAGCGCTATTACGGTTTAAATTTACGTTACGAGACGATTACGAATTTAACTACGAGGTTATCGCCGACGTAATATACCTTGAAGGTAATAGACCGGTCTTCTACGTCGTCGATACTACTACGGCGTTTAACGCCGCCTAGTTCCTTAAGGATATTTCTACGAAAGCTACTTAGGAAGCCTTACGCCTCTGCTAGATAGATATATATCAAGGACCCCTAGACTAGCTAGTTACCGACGCTAGAACAAACTTCTGCTTAATAGAATTCCGAAACGTAGCAAGAAGAATAGTAATTAAAATCAAGGAAATTCCTATAGAAGCTTATAATAGTATTAGGAAAGTTAAACGATACTATATACCTCTAAGGAAGGCGTACGAAATTATCAAAGCAGAAGACCTAATAATTACGCTAGAATTAATACTTTAAATAGTAGTTAAAATAGTTAACGATACTGCTAGCCTAAACGGAATAGTACTAATACTCTTAGTATTCGGCTTATACTTACGAATTACTAACGATTCGCTACTATCTCCCGAAGTTATAAGGCAGGCGAAAGCGATTAAGAAGGCGATAAGCGAAGTATATAAACTTTACGTAAGGCGATAGGTAGTAGAAGCTATCGCTACTTATAATAGCCTTGATATAAGGCTAATTATTAATTTACTACTATAGTTATAAGTATAAGTATAGCGCGAAAAGAAGGGCTAGACTAGACTATTTACTTTAGTAGCTATAAATAATAAAACCTATACTATCGATACGCTACGTAGTCCGAAGACCTTCCGGTCTATTATAGTCAAACTATATTACGAAGATCCTGATTAACTACCTAATTCTATCGCCGCGCTAGAAGAAGAAGAACTTGAAGCTAAGATACCGTAGTAGGAAGTAGTACGCGACGAAATTATTATCGCTAGCAGAGATAGTAAACTAGACGAACCGTAAGAAGCACCGGAGCTACTAAGAAGACGCCTAGGCAAACCCCGGAAGAGACTACTACTAATCGCCTACTTTATAAAGGAATTTAACGATAACCCGGATTATTAATAAATATTCCTATTAATTAAGGAGTAAGTAGACGAAGAATTAGTAATTAAACTACGACGAGAAGGTATTATTACTATACTAAGCAAACCGTTTAAATAGTTAACTAAATAAGAGATTAATAGCCTTATCGCTAGAAAAGTATTTAAATTTACTTAGTTTAATAAGAGAAGGTATTAAAACGTACGAATCTTCCGATCTTATATCGTTAACAAAGTTAAAGGTAAAATAACTAAACCTTATAAGAAATCAAGACTTATAATACAAGGTTATGCCGACGATAGTAAGAAGGCTATATTAACCTAATTGCTAACGATTTAGCAGGCAAGTTAATAGCTAATTCTATTAATTACCTTATTACTCTTACGAGAAAGGAAATAACTATATGTTAGAAGTATAAGTATATTATACTTCTATTTTACTTATTTATCCTATTTAGTCTTATCTAAGACTTAGTAGGACTTACAAAAGTAACTAGCTAAGAATGGCTGCTTGCTAGTTTAAACATATGACATTCAGATCCCTATGGAATACTCTCTTTAACCTTATCTAAAAGTCTATTTAGTTAGTGAAGATTCTAGTCTGATTTATAAGCTGCTTTATAAGCTAGTTGACGTATATACTTACGTATACTAAACCTAGCTTATAGCTTCCTATATTAGCTATTATAGGCGACGTTATACTACTATATAACTAGCCTAATTCTCTCCCTTAGCTAGCTATTAGTTCCTCAACCAACTCAGCTTCAATATAAGCCTATACATTCTTTACTATTAAAGCCCTACTTCATAAGTACAAGTTCCCTTACTCTAATACCCTGTTATAAGGATATCGTACTATCTACGAGATTCCTACCTACCGTTCCAACACTATAGCTTCGAGATATTATATAAGCCTACGTTTAATCCTTTATAAGGCTTAATCGTACTATTCTTGCCTACCTACTAAAGCAAATTCAAGACTAGTACTTAAAAGGGATTATTATAAAGGTTATAAAGCCTTTATACGGAATCGCAGAAGCTAGAACCTACTAGTAGGCAACGTATTATAAGTATTATAAAGAGAATCTCTAGATAGTTACTTCTTCGTACGATCTATACTTATTAATCTTATCTACCGAAAATCTATACTTTAGCTATATCGGTATATAAACCGACGATACCCTCGGTTTATTAGATAAGGCGTTCTTATAATTAGAAGACGAATAGTTAGAAAAAGCGGCTTTTATAGTAAAAGCGAAGAATATCCTTATAATTAACAAACCTTTCTAATTTAATAGAGGGATAATCGCGCTATTAACCGATAATTCGATTAATTTAAAGCAAAAAGGATAAGCTAAGAAGTTACGATATATTAAGACTACTAAACCTAACCTAAAATAGCAATATATCGAACAACGCGCTAGAAAGGCGTATATCGCGTTAATTTGCTAACCCGAGGCCTGTTTCGATTTATCTACTACTGCCTAATACTAAGACCCCTTGCTAGAAGTAATAAAAATACTAAATTAACGGATTCGATAGTAAATAGAATCGCCTAACCGAGGAATAACGTTTATCCTACTCGACCTTATAATAGCTAAGCTATTCGTTTTCGTTAATAAGTCGTTTGCTAATAACTACGACCTTTCCTCCTAATTAAGGTTTCTAATCATCCTAGCTAACGATACTTCCTCTAATAGTAATAACGGAGAATTTACGATTTATAGTAACCTTGTTTATTATAGCTTTACGAAGAGTAAATAAGTTACCTATAGCGTATTAGCGTTAGAGATCTATAAGATAGTTGCTAGCGTCGATATAGCTTACGCCTTCGCTATAACCTTAGCGATAATTACTAACTACCTTAACCTACTAACGATTTAGATAGTTGTCTATACCGATTCTTATTCGCTATACGAGTATCTCGTAAAGCTAGGCATTATTAAAGAAAAGCGACTTATAATCGATATCATAGCGTTAAGACAATCGTACGAAAGACGAGAACTATAAGAAATTCGTTAGATTAACGGCGAAGACAACCTTACTAATACCTTTACGAAGAGCAAACCAAATCGAGCCTTCGAGAGATTCGTTAATAGCAATACGATAACGATACGTATAGAGGGATAGGTAACAAGACCGTAACTACAAGAGAAAGTAAGGATAGGAGGCCGAATTAACGAGGAGACGGAACTATATAGGGATAACGTATTCTAACCGCTTTAATACTATAAAAAGAGAGTTTCCAGTGTTGCGATAGTTGGAATACGGAGTCGTATAGCACTTCCAGCCACACGCCCGCCAGGCTGAGAGGCCCAAGCCTCCCAGACCCACGTGACAGGCCAAGGGGGAATATCCCCACCTTCTAGTCAACAACACCACTTTCAACTATCATGAACCATCGATTAGAACTAATTTACTGTTATTTGTTATTGACGAACGGAATTCCGTTTCACCCCCTGTGAAACCTACAATATTACTTGTGAAAAGAACCAAAAAAAAAAAAAAAAACATGTCGAAAACCTAAAACCAAAAAAAGGGGGTATAATTTGAACGTCTAGAAACAAAACCAAAACGCCAGGTATCCCATGCATCCAACATGCCCTAGGAAGTCTGTTTCTTGATCAAGGGCGAGAAGAAACGCCGACGTCGTGGCAATGTTTGCGGGGGCTCCTAGACCTGCAACGACCTCGTGCGATCAACGCTCGGTCGTCGAACATCTTGCGCCGCCTCGTTCTTCCGATTTTCGAGAAGAGCGCTGTCATCTTTGGAAACTCCCGCGTTTTCAGAAGAGCTGCGTCTGCCGTCGTTGTCTGCGGACCGCCCCGTGTCAACACTATGTCTCGGGACGGGACTCTTGCGCTTCTCATCCGTCTTACGCAGCTCCTTCTCCGTGCCGACGACTGTACTCATGTCCTCGCCATTTTTTATGGCAACAAGAGTACGTTCAGCGATAGCGACGCTTTCGAAGGCGGCGTGGTTGACACGCTGCTTCTTGGACGTAAGTCGTCCCGTAATTCCCTTCTTCTTCTCCTCTAATTCCAGAGTCTCCATGAGCTCTCGGATTACGAACCATCCCGAAAGGACCTCCTCATCGATCTCCTTCTTGTGGTCCCCAAGTTGCCGCCTCTCGCGTTGACCTTGCACTATGCGTGCCCGCCGGACGACTCTGTCAGGCTGCTTTTTGCGTTCTGTTTGCTTGACGATGCCCTTGAGGGTGTATCCAAAGGGGCTGATGATGGCACTGAGGTCTTTGAGGACGAAGCCAGTAAGGCCCATGCCGGTACCTTTAACGAAGCCCTTGACGCCGTCCTTCTTTGCGCCCCGTACAGGAAGACGAACTAGGCCAGTAGTGCCATCGTAAATACCAAATGCAAATTCCTTACCAGCTGCTTTGAGGCCGGAGCGGATACCGGTCACGCGGGGAGGACGGCGAACTGTGTCGTCGCCGTAGAGTCGCGGAGCGTTGTGGAAGCCTTGGGCGAGTGCCATGGAGAGATCGACAGGTGCTCGGGCCAGGGCCTGGGCGGTCTTTCCAACGCCCTCTCCGACTTCATTTGCGTAGTCTTCCACAGGATTGTCGACTGTCGTGGCGGTTTCAACAGAGGACATCGTGTCTCGACGGTCTTGTTGGCCTGGTCTACCAGAAGATGCGTTCCCGTTTGCCTGATTGTCGCTGTGACTTTGCTGCTTCTCCTCCTTCTCATCGTCCTTCTTGTCGGCACCGTTCTGTCTTGGGCCGTTGCCAGACTCAGGAGGTTCATTCTTGATTTCCACGTGTTGGTGGAGATTGCCATTAGCTTGCGGATCATGAGGCTTGGCGGTTCTACGCTTTTCCTTCAGCTCTTTGAGCTTCCTCTTCTTCTCCTTCTTCTCCTTTCGTTTGTGTGACTTTTTGGCCAGTTTGTATGGAACACTGCCGACTCCTCCAAATACGTTACCCACGGTTCCAGCAATCGAACCGGCAACGCCTGTGACAGGCTCTCCTGGACCCTCGAAATCGTTCCATTCCATGTGACGTAACAGCTTGAGTCTCTTCCACTGAAGTTGACCCTCCTCAACGATGATGTCGGCGGCCAGAGCGCTCAGCTTGATATTACTCTTCTTCAGAGTCCAGACTGCAGCACGGTCTCTCAAGATAGAGCAACGCATAGAGTTGATGCCCTGCAAGTTGATATGGTGGTGAAATGAACGAACCGCATTCTTTGCGCCGTCGCCTTCCAGCTCAATATCCTTCGCAACCTTGGCAGCGCCTTTCTGTGCTTCCTCCGTAAGGCAGTATTTGATGCCCTCGGCAAGCTTTTCGGCAGTGAGATTCTTGTATGGCACAGCCTCAGGGCCAGCTGCGCAGTTTGACAGGATACTTCCCCAGAAATGCTGATCGCCGAAGAAGGGCACAATCATAGTGGGCTTGCCGCATTTCAAAGCAATCGCTGTGGTTCCAGCACCACCGTGGATAACGCATGCTTTGACGCGAGGGAAAAGCCAGTCGTGAGGAGTATTCTCCAGCATGAAGATGTTGTCCGGAACTTCCATCTCATCTCCTCCCAGGCCTCCCCATCCCTTAGATACCAATGCTCGTACACCTGCCATTTTTACTGCGTCGAATATCATTTGAGTAAAGCGATCGGCATCGTCGACAACAATTGAGCCGAAACCAATGTAAACAGGCTCCTCGCCAGCTGCGAGGAACTTTTCCAAATCACTGGGCGGTTCAAAAGACGATGCCAAGTCAAGAAATACAAAGCCGGAGACATCAATCTCGTCACCCCAATCATGGGGTTTAGGGACGAGGCCGGGGCTCCAGAGATAGGTAAAGGGGACGTGAAGTCGGTAAGTTGCACCGGGGGCCCAAAGCGTCGAAACGGGATCCAACCCGAGTGTTTTTACTCGGAAGTCATTGACCAAATCACCCAAGCCCTGCCAAACCATCATTTCGACCAAGGGATAGGAGATGAAATTGGTGTATCCCGGGTCCACGTTCGATTTCTTGATACTCGCTAACGGGTGAGGGAATGCTTGGGTCGGCGTGTATGGGAAGGTGAACATGAGATGTAATGGAATACCAAGGGCCTCGGCACAATGAATGTGGGCGAAGCTAGGGGGGTTGGCGATGATGGCGTCGGCAATGAAAGGATCCTTCGCTCCCATCATCTTGAGGTTATGTATATCCTTCTCATCATCGGTGGCGTTAATGCAAGCTCTCCAGAACCCCTCAAACATCTCGGCCATGGCTGACCTTCGTCGCCCGATATCCCCTGCTTTGACTGCATCAAGAGTAGGGATCATTCCCGGGTTCTTCACCATAAAGGCCATCAATTCTGAAGGATCGCCGCCTACGGAGAAGAACTCGAGGCCAGAGTCCTTCTCGACAAAGTCGCGGAAGGCTGGGTGAGTCGCAATGCGTACACGGTGTCCGTAATCCTCCTTTAATATCTTACCAATCTTCAGAAATGGCTGGGCGTCGCCACGCGAACCAATGACCATGATTACGATGTTCAGTTTCGGCTTAGGTTCACGTTCAGCCGTAGCCGTCGTGGCCGAGGATAGACGAGAAGGGCTGGGTCTCTGGGCATCTTCGCTTCCTTCCTGATCTTCGTGAATCGGCACAACCTTCTTGACGGCTTGTCCTAGAGCCTTGGCCAAGTATCCGGTGTTTGCCGTTTCTTTGACAGAGATTCTCAGACGGCCGTCCCTCTTGACTTTTCCTTTGGTATTGTAGTTTTCGTTACCGATACGAAACCGGCGGTAACGATCCTCGATTTCTTGCCGGCGCCGTGCTTTGGTTCTTTCGTGAGCGGCTTCTTGCTCGGCAGGCGTCCTCGACTCATCTTCAGATTCTGAAGAATCGCTTGAATCTGATGAATCATCTTGGGAATTTGCGTGCCAAATTGCTCTGTTGAGATACGAAGTCCCTGCTCGTTTTGGGACCGCGGGGAGCGTCGCGTTTCTCGGACCAGCCTTACGGCTAGGGACCTCCGTTCTCCATTTCTTATCAATCGACGGGCGATCGCGGCGATTTACAGGGGCGGTTTGGTTCGGCTTTTCAAGAGCCTCCGGGTCGGATGTTGTTTTCCTGGGCTGAGCGTTTTCGCGAGGCGAAGTTTCGGGCAGGTTTTCGGAGGTCGCTGACTGCGGCGATCGGGCATCTGGTGGCGATTCAATCTCAGGCGGCACGTATGACGGGTAGGCGATGTTGTTGTTGACGTCTTTCACGACGCCAACCCGCTGCCCTTCCTGAACTACCTCGTCGACATGTAGGTTCTCGGCTGGCGGCGTAGATGCTGTCTCTGAATCCGTCACAGCACCCAAGGCGTGGCTAGCCATTTGGGGTGGCTGCGCCATAACGGCGTCGTTATTCTCGTTCAACTAAGCGATGTGCTTGTTTGGCACTGACGATGCCAGTATGAACAGGATGTTGACCTTTGACTGTGTTGAGTATGTAAGGTTTCGATTTGCTTCGATCTCGGTGGTCAAGAGTTGTCAAGCAAAAAAGGTGGCTCGGAGAGCACTTAAAGTGAGCTGCTGAGAATGGAGAAAAAATGTAGGTGTATAAGTCGCGTCACTCGTTCTTGGCTGATTGTCACAATACATTGACGTACAGAGCAATGAAAGCCAAGGAGATAAACTAGGCTCGGCAGACTCAAACTAAGAAGGGGATGGAGAAATAAGAGGGTGACGCCGTTTTTGGTACCGCCCACATCAGAGCTCGATCGGGACAGACTTGTTTACTCTCTCTGGAGGGTTTCACACCAAAGCAAGCTTCTGCAAGCCGGCTGCACTGGTGCTAGCTGTTTCCAAAGCAGCAGTATGAGTTGGAATTTGCAGCCCTGGCCTATGACATCACTACCCGACCACGCTAAGCAGTTCATTGCAAGGGGCCGCCCCTGTCAATGTGGCCCCCCAGGCCGTGCGCCAGAACCTACAATAGCTGGACCGGATTGGCTTGTGCTAGCGTGTTGAGCCTGGTGGGCCGGAGACTCTGCCCCGGTTTACTTTTCGATCGGCCTCACCAATCCACCAACAATTTCAAGTTCTCCAACTTCTTCACAACGCGCGAAAGTTATCACATTGACAGAAAACTTCCAATCAACCTCGCTGTCAGCCGTCGGCAGGTATCACACATGCCTTTGGCTGTAGAGATGCAAACTTGTCAGGATCCGTGTGGTAAGATAATTTGCCAGCTGTCTCTGTACCAAGTTAGCTCAAAACGCGGATGCTGCGTGCCTGAATATGCATGTCCTCAGCTTCTCGGCTTTTGGGCGCTCGAATCACATGCCGTGATGGCGCCACAAGGTACGTTCCGCACATCACCCATTGGCTCCAAATAGGCCAATAGAGTGAGCTTTTTAAGCCCAGCCACGTACGTCTCGCCACACTAGGCGTCCTCCCTGTCACCAGTCGTGGCACTTGGGCACGAATGCGCTGCAGGCCCGTCTGGAAGAACAGTGCAACGTCGCAAAATACATGAGACCATTAAAGGCCCGAGCTGGACTCTCAATAATGCCTCCGCTCAGACACCATCTCAGTAAACACCAAAACCTTTACCCGCAGGTATGAGATGAGATGATACATGTGGTTGGTGCTCTATGCAAATGGATGAAATGCAGGCTACCTGAGGAGGTTTCCGTACGAGTCCAAGGGCACCGCATCGTGAAGCTCTTGTCCCGACACCACAGCCCAGTTTCAGTCCGCTGCATGGGTTGTTTTCGGCCAGAAACTGTTCCTTAACAAAAGCTTAAAAAATAAAAAAGCTCAGCGCCATGCAATGTTCCACCGAATAGATTATCGCAGCAAGAGCCATTCCGTCAGACACAGTGTTAATCAGTTGAGAAATAGCACACCTCTGATCTAGGTTCTTTAAGTTGTCATTACTGGTCTACTCTGGTAGCCGGGCCGCAAGAGCAAAGACAAAGCGACGAACGAAGCTAATGTTAAAGGCTGGAATCCAAAACTTATTTGAACGATTAATCACTATGAGCCCTATGGAATGGACCATCAAGCGTCACGCATTATAACAACATCCTAACCATAGTGACATTGTGGCCACATTGCTCTGGAGATGATTATGCCCAAAAGTTCCCACTTTCTTTACATATTGCATGCTCTGTCCAGTTGCAGCGAAGCGAAGGTCGTCTCTATGGTATGCGGCGTCAGGTTCAAGATTTCAAGGGGAAAGGCGCTGGCCTCTAATTCATGTATCAGGCATCTCTCCGGACGCAAGCTGGTAGTCAATGTACAAAAGTCACTCCCAGGAGCTGCCACAGTCGGCTAATGAAACCATGCATTGCACTGCCGACTCCGTTTAGACAGCACAGGCGACATGTGGCTAAGGACGTAGGATACAGTAATTCTTAGATTGTTTGCTGCTTGTTGCTCAACAGCCTAGGTAATTCGTAATTCATAAGAGACTCCATCATGAACCTTTCCCCCCAAGAAAACCAAGGCCTTCAAATCAGAGAGCAATTCGGCTTACCCGCGCCGGTACTCCCATGACATCCAGCAACTGATATACACACAAAGTTCACTGCAAAGGCAAACTCTTTAACCGCATGGTCAGAATCTCGAGTTGTGTCACCACCTCACCGCCCTGTTCCTGGTCGTCAATCTCCTTTTTCTCAATGGCAGTCTGAAGTGTCTTGGCTGCGTGTAGCAGCGGCTCGACATAGCGCTGCTCGACAGCGCCAGGCATACTTGCCGGCACTAGATGCTGAAGGTCGGTACTCGCGAACAGGAAATACGCGAAGTTGGCCACCTGAAGGTGGAATGGGAAGTTCTGCACCCAATACTCCCAGAGTGCGGTGACGTCCTGTTCTTTGAGAAACGCCATATTGGGGAACAAGGCGTACTGTAGGGTATCAATAGCGTCTGTTGTCGCGAATTTGTTGGTAAGTTTGCGCTTGCGAGCAATGATTATTTCCTCTCGCAACCACGAGACTGCAGATGCCTGCAGAGCGGAGAAGATGCAGTTCTCAAGTAGATCCTCCAGAATCTTGAGACGATCGTTGTCATCGGGATCATCGTGAAGAACGAGGCCGGCAAGAGTTGTCGCAGCATTTCGCACGGACAGAGAAGGGTGAAAGACCGAGACTAGCGTAAGTAAGTGATGATAGGGCATGAAGTCGCTAGTCCCATCTGTGTGGGATATACGCTTGTAGTTCTCTAACCACAGTCCCATGACAATCAGTGCCTCAGTCGTACCCGGGTTGCCAACGATGCGAGTCTGAGGATCGTCGCTGAGGAAGCCCTGCAACAACTTAATGTGGTCTGGGAACATTGTCATTTGCACCTCTTCATAGTCTGCGTCGAATACTTCTGCCGAAAATAGCCAGTATGCAACCAGACACCAGACACCTCCAGTAGAAAGCTTTATTGCCTCGGGAGTGAGGGCATCGGTCTCGATGGATAGGGGGCTGTTGACGATGGAACCTTCAAAAATTTCCTTCACTGACAGAGCATGCACTCTGGTTAATCCAAGATCTCCTGCAAGTGCCTAAGTTTTTGTTAGCAGTTCGTCCGTCCACAACATCAGACGAAGACCCATACCACTAGCTGGCCAACCAGAGCGTCCCGTGCCAAAAAGTCACCGTCCTCTTTGAAAGCACGCAACATGCTTTTTCGGACCACCACGCGTTCTGGGTTGTAGAACTCCAAGAGGCGAGATGCCCACTCCATGCTCGTGCAGTTGACATACGCCTCAATTATGCAGGTGATGAAAGACTGCAGTAGTCGCTTCGTTGTAGCCGGCTCGGTCGGCGCAAGTTGTTGGGACTTCCCCGCCTCGGGGTCAGGTGCGTTCTTCGTGGGGTCGCTATCTTTGAAGGGAGTGTCGAGCTTGTTGCTAGACTGACGAGTAGGCAGCGGCGGGCGCTTTTCGCCAGATAGGGAGCGGATAAGGGCGATGACTGCAGCAGTCATCTCGGGGTTGCGTGGATGATATGTGCGATAAACGCTTTGGAGAGTTGTGTGAACGAAGCGAGAAGGTCGCGCAACGTTGAGGCGTTTGTGGAGGATGCTAAGCATGCTAACCAAGTTGACGAATGTCGCAGTGGTTTGCTCATCATCTTCCTCGTCGGTAGCATCGTCGACCATCTTTTCGAGGACCTCCAGAACCTTGAGGATCACCTCTCGGGGGTTGCCCAGCTGTGCAATCGTCTCCAGGCATTGCTCGCTCCCATGAACGGGGACGAGCATCTCAACCAGATCCCAGCCAATGTCCTGGGTGAGCTGCGCATCCTGGAGGATGTCGTTGAGCTCTGGCAGGATCTCAGGGGATAGGACCTCACCAATAATGGTCAGGTAGGTGAAGGTGTCGGTCGCAGGCGGCTTGGACTCACGAAGGGCCTGTAGGCCCTTGGAGGGGTCTGCCATTACAGGAGCAGTCGGAATAGCAGCGGCTTCAATCATCAGGTCTGTTGTGCCGTCGCACAAAGGTTGTTTGGGGGAGAGGGAAAAAAAAAAAACTGGTTGTTCGCCAGTGATGGATGAGAGGTGAAGATGAAGAAAGAAGAAAAGAGGCTGCGCCTTCCGATTTTCGTCATCGGAGCTTGTAAACCTGACATGAGCAAGGGTTCCAACTCCAATTTCTCCCCACTGGGCATATAATTAGCACTATACACAATTCACCCTCCACACAGCACTCTCTCACTGACAACTAAAGGCGGAAATGGTGAGGTGCTGCAGACCCAGAAATGCCAGCAGTGGGCGCAGCAGGAACCCCGCACTAGCCCTGATTCAGCGAGATTCATGGATGATGGGTCGAGAGTGCACTAGAAAACCCCACTGAAATCTGCCCCGCCGTCGCTGGTTAGTGCAGACGTGGCCTGTCACTGACACTGACTGAAGGTGAGTGAAACCACCCATCGGGACGGGTTGGTTCCATCCCGCAACAGTGGCGGGGAGTCCTGAGGCCCTGGTGGAGGCTTGGCGGTGAGTGCTGTGGTTGTTGTCAGGTGTTGTGTCTGTTGTGTCTTGGAGTGGTCTGGCAATTGGCAAGCCTGGCCCGGCCTGGGGTGGGCTGTGCGATCTGAGGATTTTCAGGAGAAGTGGCATCTTGGATAGATCGGCTAGCGTTTGATTTATGCTTGACACTGGAAGCATCCGAACAAAGTGCGAAACTAGATGACCCTCATCCCTTTAATCTGCGGGACAGAATGGGGGCCGTGTAAACAGAGCAGAGAACTCGGGATTTCTACATATGACCATCTACTTATCTGCTATCGATAAGTGCCCGGAGGTTTAGGTATCGATAGCAAGTGGGGTGGGTGAAGCCAAGATAACGGGATGCACTACGATAAGACTTGGCGGCTGGGATGGGCAAGCAGAAGGAGGCAGGTACGACCGTGAAGGACGGTACCCGGCCTGGCTTCCTGCCTTGTTTGCAGTGGTTTCTCTATGTCGGGTTGGGTTGTTTGTTCCATGTTTGGTATTCAAGCGAGAAACATCACGAAAGATTCCACAACTCCGTCTCATCAACAGCCACTTACTTTTTGACGTTCCCTCCCTTCCCGCTATACCTTGCTCAACCGGATGGTCTCTGTGAGAGTGTCACCTGGCGCTCCAACCCCCGCACACGTTGCTCACCCAGGCCCTCTCTCACTACCACCTCATTGAGGAGCGGCCCGGTACTTATCGACGGACCAGTGGGTCACGGCTCAGTACCTCCAGGCGGGGACACAGTACCTCCGCAGGCTGCCAAAGAGGTGCCTTGGGGTCCCTCACAGCGCTTGGCGCATGTACCCTCATGTCCCAAACCCTCTTGGGCTCCCAGCTCACTCTCTAATCGGATCAGGTGCACCCTCCCCGCCTGCCGCTACGAACGCCCTACCTCACTCTGACCGACACTTACCGACCGCTGCCTCAGCGGAGGTGCAGGCTACACCCGAACTTCAGTCAACCTCCTGCCGTCTCATCCTGCAACTTCACCTGCCCTTTTGCTGGGCCAGCAGACCTTCCTCGTAGCCGTCACCTCTTATCCTGATCCCACGGCGCCTCTGTCTAAGCGAGCATAATGGATAGGTTCTATCAGCTCCCTCCGGAACTCCGTGCGACAGTGGTTGAGTGCCTTGTCGACCACTGGCGGCACGGCGATGAATCAGACTCCATCGCTGGCTACGCCTCGGTCTGTAAGGAATGGCAGGCCATCGTTGAACGCTACAACTTTTCAGTTCTTCGGGTCACTCAGTCCGGCCTGGATGAGTTTGAGACCTCCCTGGTGGGCTCTCGCCGAGGGCTCTTGAGACAGATTAACCTCTATGTTCAACTGCCCACCTACGACAATGATCCCTGCGAAAAGAAGGAGACTTGGGAAGACAAGGCTGAAAATAATACCTGCTTCACACGAGCAGTATATGGCCTCTTTCGTTTGATGAGTTCGTGGACCTTGGAAGAGGCTCATCGAGACGGCATCGACTTGACTTTAAGTATCTCCTCGCCAAGTGACCTCCGCAATGCGAATTTTGAACTGTGGCAGCGGCGTAGATGGAATATCAAAGACATCGGAGAGAAGCGATTTGCAGATTCCTGGATAGACTTTGTCGGTCACGATGAAGAATTCGCCCGGATGAATCTGCTGCCTTTTGTGCAGGTCATTCGCTCCTTCAAAGCGAGCCCCCAGAACCACCGAGCCTTGATGCCGGCCGCTCATGCCGATATCATCGCCAGACTTCCGGGACTTCAAGAAGCAGCTTTTGATGTCTTAAAGGATAGAAGGAAGGAGACACGGAAAATACACTTTAATCGTGAGCAGCTAGCATGTTTGATGTTTTGTTGTGCCGTTTACTAATGCTCATCAAGAATTCGCCGGCTCCATGACCACATGGCCGCTCTCCCTGCAAAGCTTATCAATATCATCCAACACCATCTCTTCGTGGCGTCAAATTCCCCATGAAGCTCTGGCAGAGGCAGACAGCGGCCAAAGGCTCTGCGAGAAATTACGCAATACTGCTCGGCATCTTAAACACTTGAACATCACCAACGTTGTGCGTATCCGGGAATTCTTGCGGCCCTACTGGCCCCAGGGTATGGATGACACGGAGCCCTTTCTTATGACTCGCCTCTATAAGCCCGATTTCTGGCGTTTGGAGACGATGCACGTCTCTTATGGGTCCATTTGGTACAATACCGAGTGGCACAAACAGGGTGATGATATTAATGAGTCCTCCGATCTCATCGACTTTCGCCAGAGTGTGTCGCTAGCTGCAGCACGACTCGCGTACACAATGCCCGCTCTTAAGCACATGACGGTCAAGCAACGCCCTCTAATGTACGCAGGCAAGCATGAGCTCGAGTACAAAGTCGAAGATGGTAAGGCAAAGATTACTTGGACAAGCAGCTTCGAGTTCAAGCCGTGGGATCGGACAGTGGAGGCGTGGACCGAGGTTGCTAGGCGGTACGCAGGGGCGGAGCTTGATACCCGTGTCGTCACGATGCCTTGGCATATGGACGGCAAGGCACCTCACCTGCCGTCCCTCACATTTTAGACGTCTTTCTTGCGGCTCGACATATGGGTATGCTTTTTCTTTTTTTTCGTAAAGGAGTTGGTAGCGGTCAGGTTTCGGCGGCTCTCGCATCACTTGGCTTTGATACCCAGGATCCGGAACCCCAATGTCATGACGAAGGGGAAGGCTGGAGACATTAGACATCGTCTGGCAAAGCGGTTAAAGGAGTCCTTCGCAGCGTGCCTCACAGGTAGACACATGAAATGACGATACACGAATCATTCACAAACGCAACTCACGGAGACATTTTCCCTGGGCTCATCTCTGGGGCACGTACGCAAACTTGTATTTTTCCTCCCCACAAGAGATGTCGTCTAAGAAACTTGAAGCGTGCATTGTCAGCAAGCGTGAATCATGAAGTCGGTCTTGTCAGGGACACGCCAAGACACAGTCCTTGGATGAGACAGTCATACACGGGATACTATAATGTGGGGAAGGGGGGGTGGTCAGCATCACGACAAGAAAAAGAAGACAACTGCAATCCCGTCGGTGCAAAGAAGGCAGTCCGTAAGACCGTACGATGAGTATACGGAGCACATGGCTGGAAATATAGCAATCACCTTCAAAAAAAAAAAGAAAAAGAGGGAACAAAAAATGATCACGACGATAATTAAGGAGAGAAATTCTGTGGGATTTCCAGAGATGTCAAATGCTACCTGATTCCAAACCGAATAAACCCCCCAACGCCTGCCCGGGACGCCTTGACCTGGGGATAACCCGCCCGATATGTCAAAAAATAAAATGCGTACACACATCCAACAACCTCATACATCATATGTATTTGCCTTTTGGGTTTTCCCTTTTAGTTTTTAGTTTTTAGGGGTTTTTTTCTTTTTTTTTGGTGTGCGTCGTAAATGAATGAGAGTCCATGTTTTTAATCATCGTCTTCATCCATGTCAACCTCGACAACTCTCTTCTCGCCCCAGCTGTATCTCTTGCGCGTGCGCAGCATCCAGCTCCAGTGAGACCACGGGTCTTCAGCGAGCTTCGTCATCTCAATGACGTCGCCGTGACCCTCCCAGAGAGTCGTCAGGCCGGCCTCGATGGCTAGCCGAGCGTACTTGGTGGCAACCCAAGGTTCGCCCACGCCGTTGTATTCGATGGCCGCGAGGGTATAGGCCTCGCTCAGCAAGCTCCAATTCTGCTCCTGCTCGTACAGGGAGATGAGCAGCTCCGCCATCTGAGGCGTGGCGCGGGACGCAGGGCTGTAGTCGTTGAACTCCTCGCGCAAGAGCGCAATCTGCTCGATACGGTCATCGGAGGCGTCCGTCTTGAGACGGGACTGCGTGCAGTGGTGGCAGGAGCAGTGGAAGCCCCAGGTGGAGTGCAGGCGTTCACGACGGGCCTCACGGGACTGCATGGGGTCGATATAGGAGAGAGTGAGCTCCTCGCCAGGCATGATGTCGCGGATGGCGGTGGTGCGTTGGGTGAGGGTGCGGGGGTCGAACCAGTAGTCGACGTTGGGGCGGCAGTCGTGGTTCATACGGGAAGCTGTGATGCGTGTTAGTCAATTTTGACGCACGGAGGTTGTGTTGTTCCACCGTTTATGGGGGAGCTTACTGTTGACAAAGACGGCGTAAAAGTCATCGTCACGCTTGGAATCGTCCATTTCGACATCGAACGAGTTGGTGACGAGGATCTTGTCGACCATGGACAAGTGGTCGCCGTGGAATCCGTGGCTGGACATGTTGAGGAACTGGCTGCGGTGATTGAACTTGAGGTAGTCGACGGCGTGAGCCTTCATCTTCCTCATCTCCTCGGGAGGAACGTTGGCAAAGGCAGCATAGTCGATGAGCAGAGTGGCAGTCTCCTTGATGATGACCTCGCCACGAGCAATGCGGTGCGTAGCCACGAGACCGTACTCCTTGCCGGGCACGGCGGCAACCTCATACTTGGGAAGGGGCTGGTTCGTGCCCGCGAGAGACTCAGGCCTGGTGAAGCCCCAGCTATTGGTGATGTGGGAAGCGCGGTCGGCGTCCGTGATGATGGAGATGCCCTTGCCGCCGTAGTTTGCGTTGTGGAAGATGCAGAACTCGATGGCATCAGTTCCGTTCTTGAAGCAGGGGGAAGTTTTGGTCCATGCGAAGCTCGTGTGGGATGAGCTCTTTAGAGGAGTTTGACCCTGTGAGCTATAGAGCTCAACGCCGTCCTTGTTACGGCATATGGGGTTGCTCGAGGACGCGGTGAGAAGTTGGGAGGAGATGCAGATGTCGTCAGAGCGCGAGGAGATGGAGTCGCGGAAAGCGAGGGCGGAGCCGGCGCCGAGGAGGAAAAGTGAGGGCTTCATGATATGAGGTATCGATTACAAGACGCTGATTGTGATCTACACAATGTAAAAAGATATGTGAGAGAAGAAAAAGAAGAAGACGACGACGAAGAATAGAAGATGACTGAAGAAAGGCAGAGACGCAACCTCGTCCCATTAATCTATATCCAAACCTGCTCCTGACTTACTTCTTTAAGAAAAGAAAAAGGGTGGGATATGGAATGATATAAAGTCATTCACAATCAAGAAGGCTTTCAGGACCCTTGGCGTTCCGATGTGAAGCATGGCGGGACGGGGTTCGAGCTCGGCGCAGGCTGAATTAGACCAGCGTTTGGGATGCTCGCGGGGGTGGTAAAGCAGGGGAGAGACATTCGAGGATGCGATGAGCGGCGGTGATGCACAGCGCAGTTGCAGTCGCGGGAGACGTGACAAGGTCCGCGAGCTTTGCCAACCCTGGTACCTGGGAAATCCCAAGCCTGGAGTGCTTATGCCTAGGAATATTGTATCGGCTTGTCTGTTATCAAGTTGACGATTTCCTTTCTTTTCCCTGATTGATACTGCAGCATGTGCCAGACTGTTTCTTGGCTTTTTCCCCCTCTCATGTGCTCGTCTCGTCTTCCATGCCATACGGCGCTGCCCGTGGCACCCGAGGCAATCCGAGGGTGTGGTCAAGGCGACCATTGGGGGGGGGGGATAACCTGACCAATTACCCACTTATTTAAATGAATTATGGGTCTATCTGACCAATTTTATGATTGGCTGTATTGAGGTGAAGTAGGTCCACCTGACCATGGAATTTTTAATCGGTCAGGTACACGGACCAGTTACTAATTACGTCCTACTACTGATTAAGGTACATACCCTATATTAATATTTAAATCCCTATTCTATTCTGATTCTCTTCCTTTTCCTTCCGTAACCTTTTCAAATCTATAATATAATTAGTTCTAAAGTAGTTCGGGATCGATCCCGGATCGATTCGCCTTGACCACACCCTCGGCAATCCCCAGATTGGCAAGATTGACACTTGGTAAGGTTAGTAAGGTTGTCTTGTAACGAGGGAAAGGCTAGGCGACTCGTTGGGGCGCCAGGGCCTCGGCCCAATGGGAAGTTGTGGTTGTGTTTGCATTGTTTGAGGTACTGGAACTGGGGGTCGTGCTGCGGATTGTTTCTTGTGTCAAGATCCTCGTTGATGGGTGTTGGAGGGTTGTGCTCTCGTATCAGAAGTGTAGCAGAAACGACACTACTATTAAGGCCACTACCAGTATGTGACAGAGTTGTGGTGGGGGGGCTACACTACCTACACACGTACTAACTGAAAGGGGGGGTGGGAGAGCAGGCTCTGTTGCAGATCCAAGGGGGTGTCAGACTTTAAGCGAAGTGACATTCGCAGAGCAAGCTCAGCGCTACCACTGCCACTAGCACTGCGCTAACGACGCCCCGGTCCTTTATTCCTTTCCCCCTTCCTCCCTGTTCTCTCGTCCCCTCTTCCCTGCATGAGGCCAGCGTTTCCAAACGGCTTCTGTGGGAGGTTGCTTCTTGTCAGAGAGATGAGAGATGCCCAGACCTGACAACAGAGTTAAGAGTGAAAAAAATGACCCGAAAGTCTGTTACTGATGTTTAACGTTAAAAACTAAAAATTATTACATGCGTTTTGGGTCCTTGTCAGATCTCTTTTCTCCAATGAGCCCCCCTGGTGTCTTCTCTGAGCTCAGTGGAGAGAGAGCATGTTCCTACCTGATGCTGCACGAGAATGCGGGACGGACACTTAAGAGTAGCAATATGCATGTTGGTTGTTCCTGGAAATAGCTGGAACCGTCAATGTCATAGGAAAGGGGGGGAGAAAGTTGAGATGAAAAACCACGGATGTGCACGTTGGGGCCGATCTGCGCCATTGTGGCGGAAAACGCCCCTACCGTGCTGTAGGCTTTCTCTCATCACCGTGCAACCTTCCCTGGACCTCTTTCTGACGCGTGTGCCCTTTTACAAATAGTCGCTCCTTTGCTGCCTTCACGGAGCACGGGAGTCCGGTAATTTGATCGTGTGGAGCAAGTCCAGGAAACCCCCTCAACATACCGGGCGACTTCATTTTGCCAAAACATGTGAGGCCCCCCCGTTGGCGATCCGGTGTATCTTTGCTGGGCGGTTCAGTCAGAAACGAATCCCCAACCTTATTGCTCCTTCTTACTCGCTGCCGGACCGGTCACGGTTGTTGATCCTATACCCCGGAGACGGATCCGACGTGAGCGAAGTGGAGCCGGACCTCTACCACAGAAACCCTTCCGGTGAAATTGGGAAAAGGAAAAAAAAAAAAAAAACCGTGAGAAATGGCAATGTAGTGAAATTATTGATGTCCTCTCCTCTACAAATGGCGCCCGCAGCAACAAAAAAGTCCTCAGATTTTCTCCTTCTCCTTCAACGTACCGCCCCTCTTCCGGAACTGGTCCGCAACGTTCTCCATCTCCACAGCCGGAAACCGCGGGTCCTTCTGCCACGGCAAGAAATCGCTGCTCGAGACCATCCACCTCAGCACCACGCCCTCCATCCGCCTCCTCACATCCTGATACTCCGCCACCTCGGCCAGGTTGTGCAGCTCTCCGGGGTCTCCCTCGCGGTCATACAGCTCCGCCGGCTCGTACAATCTGTATATAAAAGTCCACCTCTTGTCGCGGCACGAAACGCTCTTGCCCACGACCGTGGTGTCCTCGTGCTGCAGCGCCGCCTTGATATCGTACGGATACGGCGCCTGCTCCAGCAGCGGCTCCTCGCTTGTCAGGAACCCGCCCTCGGTAAACGCGAACTCCTTGTGCTTCAGCGGCTCCCCGTCCGCGTCCCTCCCCGCTCCAGTGAGCACCTCCGCCAGCGAGATGCCGCAGTGAGGGAAATGCTCCCCGATGCCCGCAAACTGGAACAGCGTAGGGACGAGGTCGACCATCTCGGCCATCTCGTCGTAAACCACGCCCCGCGGCAGCCCCGCGCCGCCGACAATGAGCGGCTCGTGCGTCAGCGAGTCCGACAGGCCTGAGGGCCACTTCTCGATCATGCCGTGGTCCCCGAGGTACTCGCCGTGGTCCGTGAAGAACAGCGTCACCGTAGAGTCCCAGTGGCCCAGCGCCTTTGTGCGCTCCACCACCCGCCCGAACTGGTCGTCCAACCGGGAGATCATCCCGTAGTACGTCGCCATCACCTCGGCCCAGATTTCCGGCGTGGCGCGGTGCGTGCCGTAGCGTTCACGGTTGAGCTGCATGTACCGCGGCTCGTAACCCGTCTTCCCGTAATGTTAGTTACATGATGCCTTTCAAATCTAAACCTGTAGGTGTATATGTATAGTATTGTAAGGGGCCCGGGACTCACCTTGTCCGCCGGTTTAGTGGGCTGTCCCATCTCGCCGCGGTTGTACATGGAAAAATACGGCTCCTCGACCTGGAAAGGGCAGTGGGGGAAGATGAGAGGCATGAACAGGACCCAAGGCTTGTCAGTCGGCGGGTGCTCCAACCACTTCAGCGCGCCCTTGACGACGGCGTCATCGTAGTCAAGGGCCTCGTTGGGGTTCCTTAGGCCCTTGTAAAATAGTCGCTTCCAGATGTCTTCTTTGTCCTCGGGCTCCGTCCTTCCGCCGCCGCCAAACCGCGGGATAAACTCGGGCGTCTCCAAGAAGCCGTACTCATCAAGCGAGAGCTCCGTCACCGTCGGAGCGAAGGTGTCGCCGCGCGGCGCCAGGCACGCCACGTGGTACCCGCCCTTCTCCTTCAGCGAGCGGAACAGGTTGGGCTCCCACGGCTTAATGAGGTTCTCGAGCGAGCGGTGGCCTGACACGTGTGGGTAGTTGCCCGTGAACATGCTGCAGCGGGACTGCGTGCAGACTGAGGCCTGGACGAAGCAGTTTGTGAACCGGGTGCCTTCCGCCGCAAACTTGTCAATGTTGGGCGTTTTGACGGTCTACGTTTCTCTTGTTAACTGCTGTATGAACTTGAAGAATTGAGTTAGAAAAAGAGAGAGAGAGAGAACCCACATGATTACCGCTGCATCCCAGGGAATCATAGCGCAGCTGGTCCGGCATGAAGATGATGAAGTTGGGCTTTTCCACCTTCAGCCCGCTGGGCCTCGGCGGTAGCTCATAAGGGGGAGGTATTGCAGAAGAAGGGGCCATATTTCGAGGTCGATAATGCTGAAGGAGCTGGACAAAAACTTGAGACGCTCGACTAAAACAAAGCACCTTCAACCGCACGTTGCTCAAGTGAAGCAAGCAGGTCGACTCAGACGAGGTTTACAGAGTCCGCGACAACTCATAAGGAGGGGCTTGACTCCTAGATATAGAGGACCACCGGCTCTGGCATCTCCATGACCGTGACATGCAAAAACCCACATCTCATATTAATCTGACGTGTGCGACTGGCTGAGGCGCCGTTCGAGACGACGATGTGCATCTTTCAGTCGCACAGCCGATACCCGTTGGTGATACCCGGCGAGATCCGGTCAAGTGTGGAGTCGAGAAAACAGGGGCCAGAAAATATCCGGCATCGACCCTACTCAGGCACAGTCTCTCTCTCGACCGAGGTAGGATTTGAGTCGGGGCCAACGACGATCGCAAACGAAAATCTGTAGTTATGTCACCGCTGGGTTTATTTTTTTTTCTTTTTCTTCCCCAGAGATGATCATTTGCGTGAGTTTGTAGCCGCATAGACCCATCTAACAAGCAATGACCGTCCATCTATCACCATCGCCGATTCACCATATAGCGCGTCGCACGTGCGTAACGACTATGTCCGCCTGGAAAGGCGGCTAGCCGATTGACTAGACGAACTACTGAACACCAAAATATTATTTGCAGCCACAGTGGATCACCGGCAATTCGGACTTGAATCAATTAATGTACACCAGGAAAGGGGCAGCATGTCACCAGTCACAAAAAAAAGGTAGTACGAGAACGGTGGAATTATACAGCATTAGAATATACAAATATTCTACAGCCCGACGATCGCCTTCACCACACGGTGATTCCTGTCGTTCACACCGCGGCACAGGCCTCCCGGGGTAGTCGTTAAGTTTATATGCGTAAAATATGCGCCCAGGGCCGTATCCAAAAATGCCCGATGCATGATGGACTCCGCAAAAGCGAGCCGGTCCTCCGTTTGTGGATTCTGCATCGAATCAAAGCCAACGGTGCGCAGGGTATAAAGTGTGTGTCGTCGAACGCCATGCCATATCGAGAAAAATGCTGAGTGCTTTGTACAGCGGGAACCGATCTGTACAGGGAATGTCCGGGCAGAAGAGGACGCTTGAAATGTAATCCGGGTGCTTAGTTGAAACGCTCCTTCTCACGCAGGCCACCGATCGAATCCATATCGACCGAGTAGAACTGCGACTTGCTGTCCTTCTCGTACGCTGGCAGCTGCTCCTCGCGAACAGGCTCGAGGCCAACGGAGCCGCCGTCACCGACGCGGACGACCAGCACGCGACCGCTCTTACGGCGGCCACCCTCATCCTGCTCGTCGGGGAAGGTGATGTGGATCTCGGGAACGTTGTCGGGGGAATGGGGGGCGGACTGGGGGTTCTGAAGCATCGGCGAGCGGCCGTCCTGGCCGATGTAGAGGACACTTGAGCGACCGTCTGTACTTGTCTGGATGGTGAGGTTGTGATGGTTTCGGGCACTCTTAATCTCCTGGTAAGGAGGGAGCAGGTCGTCTTGCACCCGTTGTTGTCTGCGCATGCGGCGCATGAGGAAGAGTGTGGAGACAAGGAGAAGAGCGAAGAAGATGAGGGCGAGGACGACGATCATGAGGTTGAGCATGTCGCCGCCATCGGTGTCGTCGCCGCGGCGAACAACGATGTGGGCATCGCTGCGGCGGACAACAGGGGTGTTGCGGGAAATGAGGTTTTGGATGGAAGGCATTGTATCGGTTTTGTTTTGATTTTTTGAGGAGACCTGGTTATTACAGCAATTATCCCTTTTTGTCGGAGTAGTCGTGGAGCAGGAAGGGCGCGGTATGCTAGGTAATTATTAAGGAGCGAACGAACTATGCAGCGAGGATTCGTTAGCATCGCGAAGGGAGCCTTGCTGCTTGTTTGCTTTGGGGTTCTGAAATGTGGTAAGACATTCTGGTGCATTGTCAGGCAATACAAAGGGATCCATTCCATGTATCCCTTCTCTCACCGGCCAACGCCAGACGATGCCATGCTCGGCGGGGTCGAAGGGGTTTTTCCATAAAAAGATACCGCACGTACGTAAGGGATTATTAAGTTCTCTCTTTGCAGGCCGTCAGAAATTGTCGTAAAGAATGAAGTTGTCTTTCGTGTCGTGGAATTTTTGGTTTGTTTATAGATTTGTTTTGTTTTCTTCTTTTTTGGTTCGAGGAGGTAGATAGTAGTAGTAGCGATGGTAGTAGTAGTAGGGAGTATCGGAATTAACGATTGGACGGAAGACAGCCGAGTGAGTGAAAAGCTGGAATTCCAAAAGCGAAGGTATTAGGGAATGACTGTGAGGGGGTACTAAGGTAGCGAGCGAGCGACAACACGGTCCTGCAACGTACAGCAAGGACAACGACGATTTGAACAAAGTTGTTGAAGAAGAAAGAAGGGAAGAAGAGGAGAAGAAGAATCAGGAAGGGAACGAGGAGGGATATGTCCTGGAAATGAGAGACAGGGGGCAGCCAGGCTCAGAGCTGTGCGGTGTGGTGTGCCGGGGGGACCTGCTGGGGGTGCATTGGACGTCTGGCAGGAACGAACGATGGAGCCATTCCTATCTTGGCCAGGCATCCATGGAGGAATTGGTTGGCGCTATTTCTTTGGGATGTGGTAGTGTTAATGCAGCAGACTACTGCATAGCACAACACACATAACACGCCGGCGGCAAAAGAACGAGTCGAGAAGGTGGTGACAGAGAGACTACCCTCTGGCGGATAAATCTCCCACCTTTCCTTCCACGGAACCGATACTTCATTCTCCATTGAACCATTGGCTCAGTGGGACCTAGACCCGGGCCTATAGTCCATTTTGGCCAGCACAGCCCATGGAGTCATTTGGGTTGGAAGCAACGTTCCAAGATTGACTGCATCTGACAGGCGTGAGCGATTCGTCAACGGGCGGCTGCAATTTCCGCCATTGGCCAATGGAAGCTACCTGTGCCTGGAAAGAGTGGAGATGTCCTTGGAGCCGCCACGAAACGGCGCCGGCTATTGGGCGGCCGTTGGCCGTTTGTGAACTAAGCTCATTGAACCCCCCTGCAGGGGCTCATGGTCCGTGAGCTCGTGTGCAATAGTAAGCCTGGCCACCACCTGGTCTGCCATCCTGGTTTTTTCCTTGCTCTTTCCTCGCTTCTTTTCTCTGTGCCTGGCTCTTGCTCTGCTCGTTCCCTGGGCGGCAAGTGACGAAAGTTGGGATTCCCCTTTTCTGAGCAATCTGGACTCGCAAATCAGCATCCACTGTGGACTTCCTTTTATGGAGATTCAACTCCAACGTGCCGTTAGCGTCGTGATGACATCCCTTTTGAGAAGGCAGGAGCGTCAGCACCAAACACAAATGGCCCAAAAGAACAGGAGTGCCACGGGGGATACCAAGGCCCAGGACCCGTTCATCAACCATCATCCATGTATTCTGAATGCAACACTTAATCCATCCTTCATTTTCATCATTCAAGCGTTGCCGAATCTCTAGGCCTCGTGTGTGTACGGAGTACCGTTCCCCCCTCATCTCACCTTGCCTCATGTCCTCCCCCTTCTCTTCTACCTCTAGCTTTTCAACATTCCCATGGCAACTGAACTTAACCTGTCAATCTAAGTTCAATGGGCACTTCACGCCCGTTGGTTCTGTCCCATCTCGATCGTTTCTCAACCATGGTTGTGGGAACTGCCTTCTCCTTTATCCGGCAGCCCTAACTTGGCAAGTCTCCTGACTGCCTTTAACTTACGTTGACGAGCTGGTTACTGTCCATGTGTGTGCCTTGCTAGTCTTGGTCTGTTGGAGGGTCCACGATGCTAAATGTCAAATCAGGCGTGCCCACTGTCGCCTTTCTTCTAGAACGGTATCCGTATGCAGCATACTCTTCTTCCTCTTCCGCTCTCCCACCTTTCGGCGCCGGCATGCCCCCCTCTCCCCGATGCCAGAAATAGCTTCAATCCTCCAGAGGCCAACTCATTTGATCCATGTCTATGGAGTACGGCCCACAACAACACTCCAGCGAAAGAGCCTCTTGGTCCACGTTGTTCGTTGCCCTACGTACGAAATTACGGCACGAGAATGGACACGTCTGGCCAGTACAAAGCCCTCGGCAGCTATCGCTCATAGCACAACATATTCGAGTTCTGCCCTGTCCGGCCCGCAGCGATCCAAGCATGGCTTTGTCGTCCGGCTCCGCCTTCCGGCTCCTAAAATTTGCAGATCGTCCTCTTTAGGGCGGTTCAAGACATCTGCTGGAATTGCGGCCCCTCAATGAAGGAGACAGACGAGGCTTTTCATCTCCTTCATTACCGATACCAAGCGTTGTGAACAAGAATGACGTTGCATTGCTGTTCAATACGCCCGATATATCTCATCTGAGCCACCCATGTTCTCCGGCTTGATGCAACATTGAGGTGCCTTGAGCTGCTTGATTGGACCCCCACCGCATGCATAAGGAGTGAGGCTCAAGCCACCTGCGACGCCATATTGTGGCGTCTTCATCTCGGCTCATCTCACATATTGGCCGCTCCTTGGAGAGATAAGTTCTTCATTCGACCTGAAGCCCCACTGAAGCCATCGTCAACCGCCCTACAACACATCAAGTTTTTTCTCTTCTTCTTCGGCCCCGATCACCGGCTTACGAACCAAGTTGTGCTTACCTCGACTAGATGCAGGTTGTAACATACACATAGCCAGAGAAGACAAAAGTTCAATACGCCGCATCAATATTTATTGATTAGCGGCATCTAATCTCTCAACGCCGGTTGCCTATGCAGGGCGCAATCCAGAAACTGAGATACAGAAGAAATCGATGCCAACTTTGTTGAGTCGAGTAACGGGTTGCAGAAAAGGGAAGAAGGAACGCCCACGCACTCATCAGCCTTGCACTTGCCACTTCTGCCTGCTAGGTGTCGTCGGTACGACTCTAGTACTCTGAATCACACAAGATTATGTGTGGATCGGCGTTGAGTATCAACATGGACGGATCACTCGGAAAAGACGATAAATCATGAGAGTCTCTCTATGAAAATTGCAGGCGGAGCCTGTTACTTTCTTTCTTCAAGTCTATTCCATAACCTCAGCGCCAGTTGCATTCCGTCAAAACACAACCAAAACTACATGCCTCACAGGATGGGATACTTGGCCCGTCGCGGTCATCTGGCTAAGGAGATACACCGCGGCATCGCCAGACTTCCAAATGCTGGGAAACCCCGGGTTTCTTGGTTCTTCTTGACGAACAGCGTCCTATCTATCGTCGCAGATTCTCGGGAAGTGATGTCCTCGAATTTCGGTTCACGAAGCGCCAGTGTCTGCCACTTGACTCCCGCAGATGCAGTTACCCGTTGCCATGCTGCCAGAGCCCTGCGCAGCATGACTTATGTCTAAGCTAGATCTTGACCTTGAGATCTGAATCCAGCTCAGAAGAAAGCGGTGTGACACTCTTCAATGGTGATGCAAGTGAAACAGCATCATGATGGCTGGGTGGCCTGTAACAAGGGACGTCCCTCTTGAGAACCGCCGAAGACGAAGATGATCATGTCAACCTTGAAAACACACACTTGGAAGCAGCTGCGAGATGAAATAATGCTGTGCCCAGTGATGTCTTAGAGTGACCTACAGGCGGCGTGCGTTGTTGAGATGCAAGCCTACTTGGCCTGTGTTTGAAAAGCAAACACGAGGCGGTAAGTGACCGTCCAATCAAGGGGCTCGCCTCTAGCCAACAGATTCTCGCATCTAAGGAGCTTCGCTAGCGTGTAAAGCTCACTTGTGGACGACATGACCGGACCTTGCCAATCTTGACGACATTATGCGGCACGCCATGCTGCAGCGAAGATATTTGCCGCATCAATATTGTTCTAGACGTTTTAGGCCGTTTGTAGGTGTGATACTGACACCAAGCTAAGCTAAGCGAGCAGTCAGCAAGACATGCTTAATGACCAGATTGCTGTTCATCTGTAGGATGATCAGCTTCTCAGGCCGGCCATCTTGGCTCGTAGGCCTTTTGTTGAAGGCGGGGCAAGCTCGGAATTCTTGTTATTGCTTTTTTTCTCACTTCATCGAGGCATTTTTCATTGGGACGAGGCACATGGAAGTACCGAAACCCCAGGTACGACGGTAATCTTGTTGGATTAAGTGCTTCGGCCGCAATGCCAGCCAGCGGAGCAGCCAAGTCATATGATCGACAAAAGCAAAGTGCTCTTTTCCGCCCTGTCAAGGTGAGCAACATGCTCTTGGGTTACACAGCGCTACTAAAGATAAAAAACACGGCGAGCTTGTGAGCAAATAAGAGCATTCGACTCCTTCGAGATCACACAAGTTTGGCCTTCAAATCTATGATAGGGGTAAGACCACACGAAAAGGCCATTTGTGCGAAGTGGGCGGTACTTTCCAGTATCCAAAGAAACCACATAACCAAATACAAAAAATGACCATACTGTCTCCAAGCCCAAAACTCGAGCGATAATGGCTCACAGAAGGATATGTCGTTGAGGGCTGAAAATGCCTATGCTAAGCTACTTTCTGGTGGGCGATCATCCAATGATGTTCTATATTGAGCGTCAGGCAGCATGGGCGGGACAGACCGTCTGGAATGGGAACTCCTCGTGACTGGCTCCGTATATCGGCAAAGTTGAAACACTGAAACATGGAACGACATATCCTCCCCGTCCGAGTGGATCCCAATCCGGGGTTGAATTTCGGGCTACCTTTGGGGGATTCCATCAGAGAAAAAAATAA